GGGGCGCTAGTTTTGCACCTCGCCCCGCCCTTGCCCTGTAGTAGCGCCGCCGCCTCTCGCCGGAATAGTGAAGGTAAAAAAAACTTTTTTTTTATTTTTTTTTGACAGGGACCTATCCGCGATTATTTTTGTCGCAGATTAGTCCCTGATCTTAAAACCTTCGTACCTTTTTGCTCGTTTGTCCAAACGCAGTGAAATCAACGCCTAAATCTTTGTCTCGAGCCCCTCTACAAATTAAACCAACTTGAACAAGATTTTGAAAACATATTGAATCTGTTTCAAACAGATTTGATTCGAATCTTCTTTTGATCATATCTTTTTATCCGTAACTCCGTTTGAGTTGATTCTTTTTGCAGATTAAAGCTCTTGACCTAAACTTTCTGATAAGGCCAAATTCACATAGTTTTGATACTGTTAGAAATTGTTTTATGTTGCAAGAGCTATTTGCTTGGTTTTGATGTTTTCCGAATCGACTTCTTCGATCTTTCTGGTCTTTTGAGTGATTGCTTATGTGTGGTTACTATTGCTTGATTACGATAGATTGACCAGAGTGTGACGAGTAGAGCTATCAAGATTTTTGAGTGCGAATCATCTTCATCAACATTGCAGGCAAGTTCACACTTTGATCATACCTCTTTCATACCCAGTTTTTATTGCATTAGATCAAACCTCCAACATTGCATGATTAGGATCTAATTAAATTGTGGGATGGGAAGTAGTTGAGGTAGTACCTATTACCTGTTTATTATCAAACCCTTGGGAGTACTATTACGTTATGCTTAGATTGCCATGCTATGCTCGTAGACGTGGATTGAGTTTTGAGAGTATTCATGACAGATGTGAGATTGTTAATTAATGGTTTACTTAAGGTGGCAACTTAAACACACATCTGGGTGGATTGAGGCACCTGGGTATTTCAGTATTGCCTGTCTAGGCACCTGGGTAGACCAGGATTGTCTGTTTTTTTGGACCGCCACCCAGGCTCAAAGGGATCATGAGATTATTCATACTAGAAACTTCCATGTGCAGCCACAAGATACTATGGGCTCTAGCATAGTTGACTAAGTCGTGCGAACTCTTACAGTGGTAGACTAGCAGATGTAGGGGATGTAGGTGGTACGGTCTACCCGATCGTAAGGTGCTAGCGCTTCTGAAAGACTATGTCTCGGTCATCCGTTTCTCAAACACCATGTAGTGCGAGAAATCCAACGGAGGCGATCGAGTCTTGTGGGGAAAAGTGCGCAACCTCTATAGAGTGTATAAACTAATCATGATTAGCCGTGTCCCCGGTTATGGACGTCTTGAGTATCTAGTACCTGGATTATCATGTGAATCTCATCACGTTATTTTAAATGAATATTGTTGGGTTTTAATGATGATGCTTAATTGGGATTGAGAATGCTGTCAACCATTCTCAATGTTTAACAACCACCATGATAGTTAAATAAAATTTATTCCTTTGCAGTAGGGAAAAATTGGCTTTTCACAAAAACCTTATAACCCTAGAGCTTTTCCACCAGCCATATATGCATGTAGTGATAGCCATTATTCATCATTGCTCTATAGTGTGAATTTGCCAGTACATTCAATGTACTGACCCTTTGTGGCTGCAACGTCTCATATTGCAGGATTATCTTACGACGAGTAAGTGATACGTTAGGGTTATGATTTCTACACTCAACTTTGCCGTTGGTGTTGATGGGAATCCACAACCTTGTTACTTCCGCTATTTGGATCGAGGTAATAGTATTTACGTTATTTTATACATGTGATTTACCTCTGTTATAAATCCTCGAGTACTGTGTGTGTCAGCATACCGATCTAGGGATGACACTTAAGCATAGAGACTTGATCCATTCGGGTCGGGTCGCTACAATATCAATCAAAGTATCCCAAATTTCCTTTGCATTCTCAAGACGGCTGATTCTGTTGAATTTTTCGGGGCATAATCCGTTGAAGAAAATATCACAAGCTTGAGCATTGTATTGCAGCATCTTTAACTTTTTCGCGGTAGCTTCACGGTCCGGTTCTCTCCCATAAAAAAATTCACCTTGCAAGTCAATGCACACAATAGCCCAAACGGCGGGGTTATGTCCAAGAATATGCATTTTCATCTTATGCTTCCAACTAGCAAAATTAGTACCATCAAAGTAAGGACCTCTACGGTGGTAATTTCCCTCGCTAGACGCCATACTCTCCTAGGTTGTGAAACCAAGGCTATGACCACCAAAAGCTATGTAAATCAAAGCAAATGGAGACTAAAGCTCCGATACCACTTGTAGGATCGAAAGTATGTCTAGAGGGGGGGTGATTAGACTACTTGACCAAATAAAAATCTAGCCTTTTCTCAATTTTAATTCTTGGCAGATTTTAGCAACTTAGCACAAGTCAAGCAGTCAACCTACACATGCAATTCTAAGAGTATAGCAGCGGAAAGTAAAACAATTGCATATGAAGGTAAAGGGAGGAGTTTGGAGGGAGCAAACACAATGTAGACACGGAGATTTTTGGCGTGGTTCCGATAGGTGGTGCTATCGTACATCCACGTTGATGGAGACTTCAACCCACGAAGGGTAATGGTTGCGCGAGTCCATGGAGGGCTCCACCCGCGAAGGGTCCACGAAGAAGCAACCTTGTCTATCCCACCATGGCTGTTGCCCACGAAGGACTTGCTCACTAGGGTAGATCTTCACGAAGTAGGTGATCTCATTGCACGTACAAACTCCTTGGTTCAACTCCACAATCTTGACAGAGGCTCCCAAGTGATACCTAACCAATCTAGGAGACACCACTCTCCAAGAGGTAACGAATGGTGTGTTGGTGATGAACTCCTTGCTCTTGTGCTTCAAACGATAGTCTCTCCAACACTCAGCTCTCTCTCATAGGATTGGATTTGGTAGAAAAATGATTTGAGTGGAAAGCAACTTGGGGAAGGCTAGAGATCAAGATTTATGTGGTTGGAATGGAATATCTTGACCTCAACACAAGTGTAGGTGGTTCTCTCTCAGAAAATGTATGTTGGAAGTGTAGGCATGTTCTGATGGCTATATCTCTAATGAAGAGTGGGTGGAGGGGTATATATAGCCTCCACACAAAATCTAACCGTTACACACAAATCACCAAACTCGGTGAGACCGAAACATACAACTCGGTCAGACCGATTTAGTTCATATTGTGGCCGTTAGGGTTTTCGGCGGGACCGACATGTCAACTCGGTGAGACCGATTTTGTTAGGGTTAGGGCATAACGTAATCTCGATGAGACCGATTACACAAACTCGGTGGGACCGATTTTGGTAATAGACAAACAGAGAGTTGGTCAGGCAAACTCGGTGGGACCGATTCGCTCATCTCGATTGTACCGAAACGTTACGAAAGGGAAACAGAGAGTTTGCATTGCAATCTCGGTGGGACCGATCGCTCATCTCGGTTTGACCAAAACGTTACGAAGGGAAACAAAGAGATTACAATCCCATCTCGGTGATACCGAGATCCCTATCGGTAAGACCGAAAAGATTAGGGATTCTGGCAGTGGCTATGTCAACTGAACTCGATGGCTCCGGATAGACAGTTTCGGTGGGGCCGAGTTTGACTTTTAGTTTGGGACATATGTGGATGTGAGAAAGTAGTTGATGATTTTTGGAGCATATCACTAAGCACTTTGAGCAAGAAACTCATTAAGCAACACCTCACCCCCTCTTGATAGTATTGGCTTTTTCTATGAACTCAATGTGGTCTTGGATCACTTAAAATAAAAAATATAGAGTCCTGAGCTTTGAGCTTGAGCCAATCCTTTGTCCTTAGCATTTTGAGGGGTCCACATTTCTCATCCATGCCATGCCAATCATTGAGCTTTCCTGAAATGTTTATCTTGAAATAGCATTAGCTCAATGAGCTATATGTTGTTAGGAATTACCAAAACCACCCAGAGATAGTTCCACTTTCAGTCTGGCAGGATAATTGTTACTAGGAATAGGACAAAGGATTATGTGATCTCTACAACTACTACTTCAAAGCCCCCGATACATCATGAGGGCTTCTTTTGATGTCGCTACCAAATGCGCAAGCATTTGTTCTTGCGCATAATGAAGGTTTGTTAAGGATTATGACAGTTCACACTGATGAAGGATTGCACCGGAGCACCGTCATTCTTTCCTTATATATAAATGTATGTTTGGAATGCAAGAGAGCGCATGCATTGACACAATGATAAGATTTGTCATTACCATGAGGAAGGTGTTTGGACCGGAGTACTGGACAGAACGAAATGTCAAAAACACATACAAACTTTTGGCAATTAGAATAGCAAGAGGCTTTCACATTATACTTGGTTGTGCCGACTGCATGCATTGACAATAGAAGAATTATCTGGTAGGTTTGTCAGGGCAATACCAAGGTCACACCAAAGAGCTATCTGCTATCAACATAGCTGAAGCAGTTACATCAAAGACTTGTGTTACTCTTTTTTTGATATAGCAAGGTCGACATTAATGTTCTTCAACAATCTTCGGTGTTTAAAAGACAGTGTGCAACTACACGATTAGACGAATAGAAATGAGGCTCGACACCTGCTGTCCACGAACATACAGAGTGCCAAATTTGACCATTGCCATGTCCACAGACATATGTGACGTCAAATTCGACCATTGCCCTTGAAGATGCTATAGCAAACGACTCCACATATACTCAAACTTCAAACACCTGTGAAGACCTATTCCTTCACATTCCAAATCCGCCGATGTGAAAATGCATAATAGACTCGTCGAGTACAGACACTGACCAAATGCACAAAAACACATGTACTGTACATAGCATAGGCTTACTGCACAACGGACTGGTTTCAGTCCCCGTTTCGTTTCATCTCGTTTCCCCACTCCAAAATACTACTACTATGAACGCCGGCAGGCTCCATGACCGGTGAACCAAATACATATTGGCTGCAGGGTTCAGCTGAACTGCGTGCAGGCATGCCAAATTTTCTCGGCTGATCTAGTGAAATCTTCATGAATCGGCTGCCAAGCTCTTCCGGTGGATGCTCATGAACTTGGCGATAAATTCTGCACAAGCAAAGCCAACAATTAACTTTCATGGTTTCAGGCTGTTTTTAGTTTACATGATAACATGAGTGCCAAATTACCTTCCAGTTTCAGCAGTGCACTGGCACCAGCCGGCAACCTCTTATCCTGAAATTCAGCATTTTCGTGCATGGCTATCATAGCTCCCCTGGGAAGTGCATTTAAACAGAAATATGCCGAGGAAACTTACGTAGTAGGCGTGCCAGTAATAAACATCCCTCTTTATGTTAGCATGTATTCCCTTCAGGAACAGCTCTACGAGTTTCTGCAGGCAAAATAATAATCAAGAATGATGTTTAATCATGCGATTGTGTCTGTGGAGTTATATAGTAGTAGCATCCTTGAGGTTAAATCTGAATAACTCGTACCTGGAGAACAAGTTTAGGAGGCACGGATTCAACCAAAAGTTTTTGGAGCTTGCCTCGTACCAAAAATAACCTGCGTAATACGTTGACGCGTTAGCAAATAAGTCTGAATGTAATCGCACAGCTCAATAAAATTTTCCTGTGTTAGTAAAATAAATCAACCAATGGTGACTGATCAAAGCTGCGGCAATTCATAAAGTGAAATATTGGTGGTACTTGAAGCATAATGATAACATGTTCACAACCAAGGAGAAGGACAATGAAAACATTCATGGCTAAATTTTGTTTTACTCCAGCAGACCTTTTGGGAGAAGGATCTTCTAAAATTTCTGCTGCGAGTTCCTCAAGAACACCATCCCATCCTAGCGGTATAGCTTGTCCATCCACGAAGGGGTAGCTGATAGATCAAAGGGAAAAATGGAAGTGAAGAGCACATGCTAGGATCATCATCATAATACAAAACCGAAGGAAATAAGAAGACTTGAGAAGGGACAACGAATACTACAAAGCATACCTGTTAGCTCTGCATGCCTCCAGAGCCAATATCGCCTCCCTCATGTTGTGCGCGGATCGAGTCGCAATGGTGTAAGCCAAACTTGCGGGGAGATCGAAACTCTCCCTTTTTGATATGTGAGTGAGAACCTCCACAACCTGTTTTTTTTTCAATTTGCAAGTCAGCTACTGCAAGCATATTTGTGAGTCAACCGTGTTTCATTTCATCCAGATAAAACGGAACCTCAATCCCGGTGGATACAGGGCACTCTCAGAGCCCCTCCGCCCGCCAGCTGTGTAGCTGCCAGGTAGGTCCCATTAACAGAAGTCGATTTGTTTTCATGTGTTGCTTCCACCAAACCCCACAGAGGCAGGGCACACTGGCACAGCACGCCCGTCGCGAGCCCTCCGCGCTAGGGTTTCTGGCGGCCGTCTGCCCATCTTCTCGCAGTCGAGGCTCCAGGCCCATGACGGAGGCCCGGGACGAAGCCCAGGAAGGGGTCCAGCCCACAAAGAGGATTAGACAGCCAGCCGAGCGCTACGCGTCTGACGACTGGGTCAAGTGAGGTTTCTCTCCTCAGAAAAAAGGGTGTAAATCCATCGGTTGAAAAATAGCCGTTGCCTTCTAATCCATCACTCGGGATCGGAAAGGCGGCCTTCATCTCGGAGCAATCCCCCATCCAATTCGCCCAAATCCGCATCAGGCTGCTCTGAGAGAGAGAGAGAGAGAGAGAGAGAGAGAGGGATGGGCAGGGCAAGAAGGGGAACGGCGGCCAAGGGCAAGAGGAGGCCGCGTGCTGCGGCGAAGGCGGCAGCCGTGGCGGGCGACGGACACGAGGAAACCAAAGATGGACCTGAGAAAGCCGCCGGCGGCGGGGGTGGCTTCTTCTGCTGCTACCTCCTCCGGTCGCTCTGCCCGCGCAGCAAGAGCCGCACCTACATCGGGTACCCCCACCCCCCTCCTCGTCTCGCATCAATCAAAAATCTCATCTTTGCTTCTTGCACCTGATTGATTGACGGTCGTGTGGCAGGTTCACGGTGAACCCGCGGCGGCGGATCCGGCAGCACAACGGCGAGCTCCGATGTGGCGCCTGGCGGACCAAGCGCGGCCGCCCCTGGGAGATGATGCTCTGCATCTACGGCTTCCCCACCAACGTCGCCGCCCTCCAGGTAATTAACCAACCCTTCTTCCCCTTGAAAGATTCGCTTCGTTGGATGGTGGGTTACGGTGGCTCCTCGGTTTTTTTTTCTTACTAAACGTGGCCGCCTCCGTTTCTTGGCCTGCAGTTCGAGTGGGCGTGGCAGCACCCTACCGAGTCGCTGGCCGTTCGCAAGGCCGCCGCCGAATTCAAGTCGCTCGGCGGCATCGGCAACAAGGTCAAGCTCGCCTACACCATGCTCAACCTCCCTTCATGGGAGAAGTAAGGCCCCTCTCTCTTTCTCCTATCTCTAGCTGCTCCATCCATGGATTCTTCTTTTCTTGGGGCCGGCCAGAGTTGACTAGTAACAGTATACTGATGTGAACGGCTGTTCTGATGCCTGTGTGTGTGTGTTGCCAGCTTGAATCTCACGGTGAACTTCTTCTCCACCAAGAATACCAAGTTCACCGCAGGCTGCCCGCCCCTCCCCTGCCACATGAAGACTGTCGTTAGCCCGATGGAGGATCTCCCGTGCTACGTCGAGGGCCTTTCGTCCGAGGATGATATTATGGAGCCTAGAGAGGATGAAGAAGAACGAGATGCGGCTGTTGGCGGTGACACTTCTGATCATGGTTTGCAGACAATGGATTTGGGAACCGGAATTGTAGGCGGTGAATCAGACACTGATGAGTTTTTTGCTCCAATGGATCGGAGTGAGGTCTTTGCATCAACAATTTCAGAATCCTCTGCAGCCCGGCCAGAGGAAGAAGAAACCAGAAGTGCTGACTGTGATGTTGAATATACCATTGATGACTTCGGTGAATCAGACACTGATGAGTTTTTTGCTCCGATGGAACGGAGTGAGGTCTGTGGATCAAGAATTTCAGAATCCTCTGGGGCCCAACCAGTGGAAGAAGAAACCAGAATTGCTGACTCTGATGTTGAATGTTATCCCACTGATGACTTCAGTTACATGGAATGGGGCGGAATTCACGAGACATCGGAATTGCACGTGTCTAGAACACCACCTCGATGTTCCTCGAGCTCGTGCAGCGATGATGTTGCCGGAAGATCAGTAAACTGTGTGACAGGGGAAGCATCTCCAGTGTTGAAGGCAGGTTCAGACGATGGTAATCTTTTCTTCCATGAAATTGATGTGGTAGACTTGGTTACACCAGTCGCCCGGTATGCTAGAGATTGCAGCAAAGTGGCCAGCATTTGCCCCAAGATTATTGATCTGACAAATTCCCCTATTGTCATTGAGTTGTAATGCTTTGCTGGACTGATCCAGTACCAAATCTTGTTGTAGTAAAATGTTATCATAGAATAACAGCCCAGAGATGAGACAGGTGTATACAATAGACGGAATTGTACAAGACTGAGTGTTGAGACTCGCAGTACTCTTTTCTTGAGACAGAATTGTTCACACAAAAAAAAGTATTCTTGTCGTTTCATCAGAAATAATGTATTGGGGTTCTACTAATATCTATTGAAATATGTCATCGTTTAAGTTTTAACTGCTCATTATCTTGGTTGGATTGCAATGCAATCATTATTTTTCTTTAACTGAGTTGAGGTTATGAGACTGAGACTGGGCTGTAATTCTTTTGACATCAAATTATGCTTTCTGTGGGCCGTTTGAAGTGCCAACAAGGATGGTAGTTTGCCCAGTCTTACAAGAGTGGCTATTGGAGGCACTTTAGAGCATCTCTAGCAGACTGGCAATAACCTCTTAATAGAGAAAAAAGTCATCAACTCCAGCAGTGACCCATTTTGCTATGACATATGGGACCCAGCAGTCATCAATCTTTTTTATTGAAATGGTTTTCCCTATCTTCCAAATTGGACTTTAATGGTTCTCGGAACAAACTGCTGTGTTAGTGTTCAATCTCATTTCTGTGTTTTTAAATTGGGGACTTAGCTACTAGGTAAGAAGTTAATATATTTTGTAATCACTGAAATTATGTAAAATCACATGCACTTGTTCTGCAATCTGCGTACACACCCAATCCCTTGAGTGAAAGGACAACAAAAAATCGAGAAAACTCACCTCACGTGTATTTGGCACACTAATGCTAATAAGCTTGCAACGGCTTGTAATAGAATCAAGAAGATTGGGCCCATCTTGGCAAGTCATTATTATTTTGCATGCATCAGAGGAGGAATCAATTATCCATTTTATCAACCGCTGATTGTTCTCACTAACTTTGTCAACATCATAGAGAACAATAACTGGAATCAACAAATAAGCGTGTTAGGAAGATTTCAAAAGAAATGAGATTACAGAAAACAGCACTGCAGATGATGTAAGTATACCTTTGAAGTTCTTGGTTGCAGCTATCTCAGTAATTTTATGCTTATTTGACATTTCATTTGCCAGAGCTGTCAAAGCATATCTAGCATGCTTGGATTGAGTCCTCATATTGAGTTCAACGTGGTGATCACTTGATGATAATGGGACAAAAATGGGCGCAGATGCAGGTCCCTGCCAAAATCAGGGTAACCCATCCTCACTTAAGATTCCTATAACATAATTACCTCATGTGGTGTTCTTTTAATATACATAATATTATGGATTTCTTGCCAAGTGAGGGATACATCGATGTGTAGAATAATTAGATGGTAGTGCCACATGGTAAGCACTAAGCAGTATGCACATGTTTAAATGTTGACTGTCGAGCAATGAAGAATTTATGTTTTTATTCCACACCAAAAGTTGTTGGGATGAAATGATGGTTGAAATTTCAGTTCTCTCAGAGAAAACAAATATGCTAACCTGGCATGGAGATGAGTTAGAAAAGAGACTGCAAACATCAACATTACAGAAATTACCTAATTTCTTTTAAAATGCTGAACAACACAAGACATGAACCACAAACTAGTCCTCTATGGACTTACAGATGCATTTTGACACGAAACTACATATATAGTTGGTAACATTTTACAATGTTCATTTGAGAAGTAATATGATGGCTCAATACTTGCAGTGGTCCTTGTAAATTGTTTCTCTATCCTTTAGCTAAAATGATGAGGGAGCAAGCAAGACCGCATGAAACTAAGTAAAGCAATTTCGTCTTCCTTCAATGATACAAGTAACCTTTTACATTGTCTTCAAACCACAAAGCCATGATTACTTTGTGCAAACTACTGAGAACAATGATTGCAATTGGCAGGAATGTTGCATCGGCATCAAAATGGATTCAAGCTGTGGGATGTCCAAATGCCCTTAAGTGCATAAAACAAGTATATAAATTCTACTCGTCTGTGACAGAACTAACCTGGGCATTGCAACTCTTCAAATAGTGAGATACCTGGAAAAGCAACAACAAATACTTAATGCGGTCTATAATGTGTAATTTATTAACATGGCTTACCATATTCAGTGTTTAAAGTTGTACATTCAGAGAGGAATCACCAAAGATCTCAGTGAGTACTGCTCTGCATAATGATCTCTTTCCTGATCCTGGAGGCCCTTTGAGAATGATATGAGGACAAAACTCAGGGGAAACCTGTCAGGAAAGGGAACTGGCATTTAGAAACCTAGATAGCTAACATTGAGCTACTGGAACAATTATCTGCAGATTTTAGCGTGCCCATGCAATTGCCAAGCAAATTTGTACAGATTAGCTATTTTTGGATTTAATTTAACTGGACAGTAGAATGAATTAAGATTAACTGGGGTCTTTCGGCTGAATTTTTTTGAACCATAACGTAAATACTCCGGTTGAGAAGTTAACCAAGACAGTTCTTGTTTAATGACAGAGTTACAGCGAGAATTAGAAATTTATGTTTTAAAACTTGTGTAGTTAGGAAAGAGTTTGAAGTTGTTACCAATTGTTTAAGCTGTTGAACTTGCTCCCTGTGACAAGTAAATCCACTCAAAGTCCGTGGACGATATTTATCAGCCCAGAAAAGTCTAATCTTCTCCACAACAAGTGCCTTCCGAATAAAAGTTGATTCAGAATCATCATTTTTTTTGTGGCTCGCTGGTTCTGGTTTACGGCACGACTTTCCAATCGCACATGGAAACCAAGCATCATTTTGGGTCTTCTGCCTGCTAGAGGTGAATTTCATGACGCCTCCAACTAGTTTCTCAGTGAAATCACTGAACTTTCCACTATCCCCACTAAACCGATCACTGTTTAACCGCCTACTCAAAGTGGTGCCACTGCTAACTTGTGAGTGCCGACCATTAGCATGGCTGGTGTTTGTAGTTCGTGAAAAACCAGTCCTAACTGAAACAAACTGTGATGTCTGGCCCAAATTATTGCTATTTGCTTGAGTAACATCAGCATCATCGACGTTTGAATCAGAGGTGAAGGATTTGTCAATACTGTTATTCTTTACTAATGTTTTCGCAAGCGGGGCCCTACAGTCACGGGAGAAGAAGATGTCACCTGCAGACTCTGTGCTTGTACATGTATACTCATTATGTTTGGAACTAGGCCCCTTGCTGTTTGCACCCAACTCATTGATCTCTGGGGAACAATTTTCTGCATGTGAACCACCTTTCATAACATCAATTGAGTCTCTTTCTACCTGTGTTGAGACAGGAGTGCCACGGAATGCAGGAACTCTAGAAGGATGCTCCTTCTCATGAGGTCGTAGTTTCGGTGTAGAAATTGACCGGCTACGGGATATCCTCTCCTTGATCGATGATCGACTAAATTTTTCCATAGAAGGCCGAAATCTGGGAGGTGTCCGGCTGCTCTTCTTGCGTGATTCATTGTTTCCACCAGCATATGGGGAAGTATGGCGCCTCTGTTCGGTGACCCTGGGAGGAGTACGATTATTCCTCAAGCTTGAAGTTTTCTCGTCAGGATAATCTCTTACACGGTTCGGAGATGTGTTTTGCCTTCTAGCACCAACTTGGGGGTCCCTAGCAGGATCTTTAGGCAACCGAGTCCGCTGTGATTTCAATATTGCATCATTCCAAGGGCTATCATGCCACTCAGTTTCTGTATCCGAAGGTTCATAGCCACTTTTGGGGCGTGTTGATTGCCTATTGTGCCCTGTATTGCTATCTGCAGCTAGCATACTTGATCACACAATCTTAAGTTCCTGCGGATCAGAAAAATTGCATTACTGTGAGATCAACAAAAAATTACTAGACCCTTTCTTAAATTGCTAATGACCAAGATTAATGATGGCCTAGCTTGAACTTCAAACAAATCCAAAGTAACTTTTGGCCTGTCTTCTACTGCATGATAATACCATAGCAGCAATTAGTTCACAATGCAAATATGCAACTACAATGGTGATAAGGCACTCTGCTAAATAATTTAGCTTGACAGCAATCCAGCATAACTTGTACTCCCTCCGTTCCGAATTACTTGTCGCAAGTATGGATGTATCTAGATGTATTTTAGTTCTAGATACATCCATTTCTGCAACGAGTAATTTGGAACGGAGGGAGTAGAAGACAAAAACATTAGAATGATGAGTAAAACAAAAACTTACTGTGTGGCACAAAATGTAAACTCCGCTAACATAGTAACATGGACCCACTGTTATGTTAATTCAGACTCAAGAGACTAGTCAACTTTAGCAGTATTAGTTTGGTGTCCGCAGGTTTTACTCTCCCGTTGCTCTATCATGGAATTCTTCATATATGGCAGTACTAAATTGCAATAGTTCACTTTTTTCATATGACACATCAAAGAAATTATATATTCTAGTGAATATCTGGATAGAAAACTATTTAAAAAAAAAGGGTAAGTCATCATGGCCTATATGTGAACAAGCTGAAAACCCTGGCTCCTAGATATGGAAAATACTTTTCCATACGACCCCGTAGCCAGTTCACTATCTTGTGATAAGAGAACAATTCAAGCATCCGGTGCAACAAAGCCAAACTAAAACTAGATCAGCAAGTTCAGGTCGCAGCTGACATATGAAAAGTACTGCCCTGGAGAAACCTTTCCAGACACATCAACTCCTTGGAACACAGTTGGCGGGATTTGAAATATGGTATTGACCAGGGTAGCAACGAAGTGTACTGCCAACAGTTGAAAGTAGGCTAACACAAGAAGGTTTAGGTTGGCACTGTCAGGCTACGGATGCAACTATATTATCACCAAAAATTCATGCCATACATGGTAATGTATATGCATAAGTAAGATCATTGATGGATTGGATTAGCACATCTTAAGTCTATCTGTTCATGCCATCTGATTGAAGTATCAGAACTCAGGTATCTCAAATGAAATATCTGGTTGATACCTTCTGCACTAACCTCATGTTATCTTGTTCTTTAAGAAGTTGCAATTTTCAAATAAACAAAATGTATAGTGCAAATTGACTCAAATGAATCGAAGATGAATCAGGGAAGTTGTTACCTGAAGGACCAAGCGCGATATGACTTTCTTTCATATACACAGTTTAAGGCCCAAAGGGAGGGCAACAGCAGGAGTTATAGAGACAGATCAGAGGAGAAAGACAAGAAACACAGCTTTTTCTTGCTGTGTTGGAAATTCTTGTCCTTTTCTTCCACTCCGCCTAGGAGAGAAGAAACCAAAGCACAAGAGAGGAAACAGACACTCTGCCCCATTCCCTAGGCTGCTTATACGAGAAACAATCATGTATTCCTATGAACACCAAACATATACCTAACTGGATCCAGAATGTGTAGGACCCAACCACTATAGACTATTGTCATGATTCTTTGCTCACATTGTGCTGCTGAACTAACTATATTACTAAATACATAATGCGAAATACTTATAAATAATCCGTAGGATTCTAGAACAAACATGGCCACATGCCAAAAACTAATGGTGGTGCTTCACAAGATTAGCTGGAATGAACAGGATAGAAAAAGCTAAGAGACAGTTAATTAACAGACCGGACAGGAAAATAATAAGAACATCTGACAGCTTCATATATTTATTGAGCACACAGAACTCGATGCACATTCATCACTCCCCACTTCTTTCAGAGAACAGAAAAGGGACCGGAACACATTAAAATGTGAGCACAAGAACTTGGAACACATTCATCACTCCCATCATCATTCAAAATGTCAATTGAAACAAAAGGTTGGTACTTATGACCAACATACAGATTACCAACATTCTAAACTAGTGTATCCAAGTACTCGCTAACTGTGGTATACTTTACATCAGGATACAGTTGAGTTCCTTCACTTCTCGAGTCAATTTCAAAATACGTGTGATCACCCTTAACAAAAGCTGAATATATAAATATCAAATCCATTTTCAGAGGAAACGGTGCATCTGCAAATAAAAAAAGAGAGAATAAGACACATGACAAAAATAAATATAGAAAAACATTCACGTGTTATTCACAAACTACTTATAAACATAGGAGCAGAGTTATAATTCGCGGTGAGTCTGTATTCGCAATTATTCATGCCAAGGTTCAGAAAAACGAGAGGTCAGTGCTGGAACTTGTAGAGTAAGGCGAAAGATAAAAAAAAAAGTATTAGCATCTAAACTTCTACTATCTCTGTTACTGCTAAAATGTCTTATATTTAGAAACAGAGGGTGTATTAGATTGCAAGGGGTAACCACGGCTTATGTTTTTCTAACTGAAAGAACGAAACCACATCCTTCCATTTACAGACAGCTGTACCAGAAAAGAGCATCAGAACCTTTCTCAAAGTTGGATTTGATTAAACCTGGTATTTGAAAGGAATAACCCTGACAGCAGCGGACATACAAAAGCAACAGAAATAATTCTACTAATATATCATGGAAACCTTTCACCAAGAGTACTGTTAGCTTACTCTGAATGTTTTTAAGGAGTTGCTCTTCAGTTATATGTATCTTCTTTAGGCATTTGTTGATTTTTGTCTCCCAGAGGCTAACCAATTCATTCAGTGAGTAGATATTTCCCGGAGGTCTCAAATACAATGTCATGTTTAATGTTCTGGGGTCCTCTATGGTACACACTGTAAATTTAGCCACATCACCCTCTTCAACGAAGATACCTGCAGAGACAAAATCTTCCTTGAGGGAAAAAAACAGAACATGGAAGAAACATTTTACATTCCAGGTATCAGACAGCAGATTTGAGAGAAGTAATATCACCAGACCTTTAGTATCTCCTCCACCAAATATCGTAACTTCATCTCTTGGAGGGGCATCTAGACCCGGCTGCACTAGCGAAGGAAGCAAATAGCGCATCAGGAAGTTGCAATAGATGTACGTGTGAGGAATATCCTCGCTCTCTATTAAACGGCGGATTTCAGCTTTCTTCTCATAGAAGCCATGGTCCATGTCACAAATCTGCACCTTTGTGTGATCAACTCCAAACTCCGCCGGAATAAATCTCTGCATGATTCACTGCAACATCAGAAGCAATGCTTTGCATTTCTCCGCAATTCCTTCTTAATAATAAAATTGCGATGTATAAAATCTAAGATTGCTAAAGGACGGAGATATTGAAAATTGCATTTGTTTAGGACGGAGATACCTGTCGCCTTTTTGGTTGCGTCTCTTTGTGTGGTGCAGAGATTTTATTCCAGATTTTTTTCCAAGTAATAAAGTTTAGCCCAATGAGCATGTTGTCCTATTTCATTCCCCTCCATTTCACATTTACTATGTCATTTCTGCTAATGCGGGGTGCTACCAACTCCCAACAATTTGATTCTAAATAGAACATTCGCTACGCGATTGTCAATTCACATAAGAAAAACACTACCCCACTAATTAGACTAGCTAATTACCCGTGCTTTGCTACAGGATTAAACAATATTTGAAGAGTGGTGGCGTGTGGCCGATTGTCCTCAGCCGCGGTGGCATTGACTGGGTTGTGACAATGTCGGTGGCTAATTATTCTAGGTGCATGTGAAGCGGTAGATTATGGGCTGTTTTGGAAATAATCTCTACTACTAATTATCTGCAGGCCTATAACTGTCTGACTAATAATTAATTAATTGCATTAATGTCTCAGTTTCCAAATTGATTTGGCGTAAGTACTATATTTAAACAGACATAATTAATTGCACGCGTAATTAATTGGCTGGCTAAGTAATTGCACTGATGGATTGATTTCAAATTGATACTACAGCGGTAGGTTTCCAAATTGTTTTTGCATTAATGACTGGTGCGGAACAACGACGTGCCAACTACTCTTTAATTAAACCCCACTGATTAGATATGCATACGCCTGATGCAGTTGAACTGGAGACCTCACCTTCACGCACCCAGCTTCCTTTATAGCCCGAATCAGAGGCTTCTGCTCGAGCGCATGCTTCGTGGGCACCGCGCAGATGACCACGTCCACCTGCCGCACGGCCTCCAGCAAGCTCGGGTAATCGTCCAGCGACCCCTGAGCCACACGGACGGAATTGGCACGTCGGTCAGGCGGAATGGAGATTTCGGCACAGGTAGCGGCAGTGAGCACTTGGAATCGCGGGCGTTTACCTTGAGGATGGTGGCGCCGGCCGCGGCGAGCGGCTTGAGGGGGGCGGAGTCGGGGAGGGCGAAGTGGTGCGGGCGAATGAGCGCGAAGGTGGGGTGGCCGGCGGCGAGGCTCGCGCGCACGAGGCTTCCCCCGAGGCGGCCGGTGGCGCCGACCACCAGGACCCTGCTCCTCGCCGCCTCCTCTGACATCGCCGCCGATCGACGAGCCGAGCCGAAGGATGGGGAAGAAACAAGGAAATGTGCCCTGGAATCAATAGGCGCCGTTGATTGGCTGACTTGTTTAGTGCCAGTTCATTTGGTGGCTTTTTTCGGCTGGTAGAATAAGCTTACCCTACTCAGTTTATTCTGAAGTTTAATCAATTTTTTTTCTTTTAAAAGACTACCAGTTAAGGTAGAGGGTAGTTTATTTTTAGCTTATTCTAGAAGGCAGTAAAATAACTAGCCCTTAATCAGGCAGCTTGAAACGGCTCGAGTTGGAATTTGACTGATCCTGATCAGGTTTACTAAACTATTTTTCGAATAAAGAGATATTGTCATTTTACTGCCAATTTTTTTTATCATTTTGCGAGTCTTATTATGCTGCTACCTATGTTGGATAAAAACCGCCTCTCGCTCCGGCCGCATACATACCAACTTAAACAACGGTTACTCCGTTCGATATAGCATAAACCACGTACTAAGATAGTGCGTATAGCGGAAAATTGATTGCAAAGGAATAGAGTTTTTGCCATTGAAAACCAAATCGTTTCTCCATAGCGTTAGCAACCATAATAAGGCATACACACTCATCCTTATTTGGAATATCGTCCAACCAATGACTAAAAATATTGCAAAACATTAGGAGGATATAGATTGGATGGTATTTAGATGACTGATTATGTAGAACGCGCAAACTTGTATTGAGAAATGAGGTGTTTGATTGTCTTAACAGGAGTACAAAAGCTAACTTTAGTGGTATCTTTGACTTTCAAATTTTCTTGTTATTAGTTGGGACCTCTAAGTACGTGAGGGCACAATGCATAGAGTCGACTGTGAAGAACACATTTTGGCGAGATTCCAGTGAAACACATCCAGTTCTTATGTCAGGTTAATCGAATCCATTCGGGATATAGATTTTGCCATGACATAAGACAAAGGGCAAAAACGACAAATTTGACCTATGGACGAAAAAAATTCATAACTTGAACTGTCTTTGAAAAAATTTCGCTTCACTGACCCTTTTGTGTAGCGCCCGACACATAGGCGTCACACTACACTGTGCAACGCCTAGTTGATAGACGCTACACGTCTGACCATATCGCACTCTAGACTGTCTAAAAATTGCTAAATGTGTGTAACGCATAAGAGTTAGACGCTACACCATATAGTGTGGCGCCTAGCGTCTAGGCGCACACAATCGGGGTCTTTGGTTTTGCTTCGCTACGCTGTCACGAGCCGACTAGAGGCGCCACGAGTTTTAATAACTAGTAAGCCTGCACATGAAAATTCACGTGCATTGAAGAGATAGTTATGTAATAGCAGTCAAAAATATTTCAAACAAACTTATACTATGATTAAGTTTAAAAAACTATAATAAAAAATATACATTGTTAATGTACCTAAGCATGTTTTTTGACGAAGTCAAGGATGATCATTCTCATTGTTCCTAGGCTGCCGCTCGCTGTTCATCAAAATTATGAATGCGAAATATACACATGTTTAATAACATTTTGTCCTTTTAAATCTCATTGTATAAAAAACGTATTGGAAAACACAACACTCGTTTGGTTAAATCAATGCATCCAAAAGCATGAATATGCCAGTAGAAGAAAAACACATTATCATATACTTAATCTCATATGATGTAACCTGAGTACAAAACGACTATGATCTTAAATGACTTGTACATCAGGAGAAGGCAAAGATATATGCCATGTCCAATTGTCCAGAAGCATGAACAAGCTTATTGGGGGGAAAGAAGAAAGATACAACATGCTAATATTACTATTGTGACATTGGTTCATAGTTTTGTCATAAAGCATATGGTTTGCCTATCAGGACCTATCATCTAGATTTGTGTGTTGCTTACTGGTATTGCCCCGGGCAATATTTGGTGAGCCTTGGTATGTTGAATATGTCCCAATTGTAAATGAAAATAAAGGGCCTGCATCTCCAATACTGTGCACACATGTGATCTATCTTGTGCCTCATTTGCATGAAAGTTCAATGCCCAACTCCATATTACAAAGGCATAGAGGAATTAGTTCAATTTGTAGCAACCCATCAACTTGAGAATCGTCAACCTGCATACCTAAGGAAATATTATTTTAATTTAAAAAACTATTGGTTTGGTTCGGATAAAGGAAACAATAGTGTTGTACCAAATTATTGGTTCGGTTCAAATGCAGCAAACACATAATAGTGCCGCTGATCTGCCATGAACCATGGTATTGAGAGAGGCATCATTCATCTTCCTTTTACCTTTTCCTTTTCTAGAATGAAATAATCCTGGTCTGGACATTTTTTTTCACCTACTTCGATTAAGGAAGCAACTCTCATGGACTATCATACTCAAAGGTGTACCTGTAATATATTGAAAATTAAACCTTAAATAAGGCATAAAATATACTCCCTCCGTCCTAAAATAAGTGTCTCAACTTTGTACTAACTTTAGTACAAAGTTGTACTAAGCTTGAGACACTTATTTTGGGACGGAGGGAGTAATATAGAAGGCATGTATCAGCTATTAGAAGACAAACTTCAGCAGGTCTGTGCAAGACACGACATCACTTTTACATGCGACGAAACAATAAACACCACTAAAATCGCGAATCATAATCACCTTGAGTGGCATTTTTCTTTTAGGTGGCAAACAAAATATCAAGACTTAGTACCCTGTAACAGATTTCGTACTTAGAAGAAAATGCCAAGATTTAGTAATCGTGTACATGCAAATGCATGTATCAAATACTGTACAAAATTTTATTGTATGTGTAAAATAAAAAATGCCCATATTCAGTTTTCAAGCTAATAATATTGTGTAGCGATCATAATAAAACAAGTATATCCTATTTGAAACTGTTACTGCACACCGAAACGTCAAAGAAAAAGACATGTTTTCATTTATCGTCTATGTTTGGACACACCATGTTTAATACATGCTGCAAAAATATATTTCAAGGCAAGAAATTCAAATTTTGTGTGTATATACAGCTTCATCCATACTGCAAAATCACTGAGGTATTCACTTGATTCCATGTAACCAACAGCTACAAGAAAATAGTTACATTGTCTTGTGAAAGCATGTGAAATAAATCTAGTTGTATGAAGAAAACAGGTACCAATAATAAACTACATAGGTGCAAGTTTTCAATGGAAACTACAACACAAATAGTTTTTTTTTCTTTTGTTAGTAGCAACATGAATCAAAGCTAAGAAGACCGCAAAGATCAAAGGACCTCACTGTGATTCAAAAAGTCACTGGATTGTATATAGCCTTTTCAATTTTTGCAACTGAAAGTTAGCATTTCTCAAATGCGGCTCCCATATGCCTCTGTACAAAGGACAAGTAAGAATTTTGATCCCAATCAATATTTGAAAACAAAGGCAAGACAACAGAGAATGATAATAAAGTTCCAAGCATCTCATATAGGATGAGAAAAAAAGAAGATAGGGTGCTGCTTAACCTGATTTTCCAGTAATATGTTTTTTGCCCCCATGATGTTTATCCAAGGTGTGTCCCTGAGCCGCAAAATGGTAACCCCTGTTATCATGTATTGCGAACACATAAACGTTCCATCCATATATAACTCTGAGCAAAAGCAATTTGTATGACAGAAAATGACATGTTTGGACAAAGCTCTAACAAGCACCGCATGCACAACACACTAAGCCGGTGAGGCAACAGAACGAAATCAACTTACCCATTAAATAGATAGAGTATGTCGTCCACACCGTATAGACTTACCAAATCAACTTAACAACTTACGAAATCGACACCACGCTTTGAGGACCATCTGCCCTGTATGGATAGCTTTGGCGCAGGTCGTCCAATACACACAGCTTTGGCGCAAGTTGTCTATAAACATATGTAAAAACAGCCCTGATCACCGTTGATACAAGATTCTTAATTAGATCCATCTGAATTATCTTGCTCAGTAGTACTTAGATTACAAGACACCTATAATAAAACAAGTAGTACTCCTCCTTTGGTGATTTGAATCCTCACGAGTTGCAGAGATCAGATTTAGAAAAGTAGCATTGAGGAAGGAGCTGCAGCGTACCCACGTCCAGGCTGGGGAGAGCCAAAAAACCAGAAATCAAAGATTACTTGCAAGAAGAAGAACATTATCCAACGCCACCATACATCACAAATCATAAGCTAAATAATACATGGATACTGTTGGTGCAAAAATGGAACCTCCCGACGCCGGTGATCATCGGAGACACGTCGGTTTAGCGAGACAAGGTGGACACAAGATTTGCCGGAGTACAAACACCTCCGTTTTCTGTTTACCTCCACACAACTCAGCACACGTTACAATGACGACCAACACGAGCTTTATACAGGAGCCCAAGCCGGGCACGAACCCACGCCCCCTACTCCTACGCTGCCCCGCGATCCGCTCGTGCCCACGACGCGCATCGTACGCGCCCCGTCCACAGCGAGCTTGACCCGATCGCCCCGCAGGTACTCGCGCACATCTCGCCAACGCAGGCCCAACGCACCCGTGCGTGCACGGACACCCCCGTGCACCACGTTCACGCACACACACGCCACGGTCGATCCCTGGCTCGAACCAGCCGCGCCCAGCTCGTCCCGCTATGCAACCCGACGCGCCCACGCGCCTGGCTCGTCTGACGCCATGGCTTTATTCCAACACACCCCCTAAGCCATGGCCATGGCCTAGAGGAGTCCTTCATGCTCGATATCGGCGACGCCCAGCTCCGCCTGCTCCGCCGCCGGTTCCTTGCGCCGCTGCGGACACTCACGTCAGAAGTGTCCGCGCTCCCCGTAGTTGTGACAGCGGCCGCGCCGCTTCCCGTCGCCGCCGTTGCCCGACGCCACGCTGCGAGCGTCGTCGTCGTCGTCCCGGGCTCTCCCTTGACGTCGTTCCCGCGCCCGCCACTGCGCCGCAGTGTACAGGAGCTTGCCATCCTCCTGCTCGCCGCTGCTCTGCCCGCGGCGCCGCAACCGCTCGTCGAATGCA